AATTATTAACCCATAAATTGAAATTAAGGCTAGGATCCATATTTTCGATTCGAACTTTGAAGATGGATGTCGTAATCAAATTTAAATCTATTTTAGGTAGGTAAGGCTTTTATCAATTTCAATCTTATGAAATTCCTTGATCTTTGATATTCATTGAATCTAATCAATGACATGTTCAATCTCGATTATGTTCTCACTTTTGTGACTGAGATGTTGAGGATCACAACCGAGATGTGAATAACCATGCAAATTAGTTTGGTACTCTCGATGTCATTTATCATCTCGTTTTAATGTTCCGGTTAACCACACGCTCTCCATTAATCAACGATAATTTTCAAGACACCCATTATCACCCTTTATTAGTCTCTCGTTAGTGTGTCAGTTCACCACACACGCTTCGCTAATGACTTATAAAGTGTAATTTGCAATTTCATGGATTAACATACAAATTCACATTTTCCTAAAGTAACTAAGAGTGATATTTTAATATAGTTTAGTTACTTTATAACATTATACTTTTAATGAAATTAATTTTGTCCTATCAAATCCGTTTGCCTAACGACCCTCCACCATACAAGAGAGCGGTGGGTAAGAATGGATACCCAATGGAGGTCATTGTATAGGCCACTTCTTTAAACTCCCCTTATAGTATGGCTTCGTGAATGAGGCATACTAGCGGTTCGACTAACTTTTCTTATATATATATATATATATATATATATATATATATATATAATATATATATATATATATATATATTAACTTTTAATTATATACATAGTATAATGTGTATTTTAAAACATTTTAAAATTATAAGGGTTTAATCTTTTTAAAAATTAAACTTTTAATTTAATTAAATTTAAACCATTAATGGATTTATTAATATCTTTTAACTAATAACTTAATTAAATTATTAATAAGATCTATAAGGATGTATTTTAAACTTTTCAAAATACTAGGGTTTATTTTTTAAATTTTTTCAAAATTAATATTGAATTAATTAAATTAAAAATAAACCAATCTTAAATTCAAGATAAGGATATCAAACTACTTAAATAGTTATTCAGTTTTACTTATTTAAAACATTATTTAAGGCAATTATCCTAATCAATTCAAAAGATAAGCTAAAAAATACGAAATTTGTGGATCTGACCGTCCAACACGTCGTGGTAAATAACCACCACGACGTGGTGCAAGAACACCACTTTGTGTTGACGGAATAAAATGATGATTCTGTTTGCTTCTCCTTGTTCAAGTTCAACGGTTGTATCAATCGAATAGAAAACTAAACCTACGCTCCGATACCACTGATAGGTATTATGCAAAACATGAAAATCATATGTGTGCATGCAACCCTAAAAATTGATCTATGTTTTCTGTAATAGAACATACAACTTGAACAACAAAATAGAAATCCTAGAACACTAGTATATAATCAAAATATACAATTACTGTTACAAGAATCATACCTTGATTGTTATATAGTAATAACAATAAAAAATCACTGTGTTGTTGAAGCTTTGAGAGCAAGTGTCACAAATGTTACGCCTCTAATGGATCACACCCAACACTAGCAAAGGAAGACAATTGAGAGAGAGGAGGGAGGGTCAAATTCTCGGTTAGCTCTTCAAAGATTCAGTTGGGCGAAATTTCTAAGGTTAAAACCCTATTTATAGTGCAATTAGGAAACCCTAGATAAACCTAAATCCAAGATCAACTTAAACTGGGTAATTATCCACCTTCCTGGTTATCCATCTACGACAATTCTAGAAGCCCTTAGGCTTCAAGAAACCGTCCAACCCATATGCAGGGTTCTAGATTGCATATTGCTCAACTATTGAATAATTACATTTTAGTCCATGCACTTTTAATTAATTTCTTTAATTCCAAAATTAATTCCGATTAATTTCTGCTTAAATATTAATTAAATATTACTATTTCAAATTAATATATTATTTTCATAATATATTAACAAATTATTTATTTCAATCTATTAATCAAATAATAAATCAAAACTCTCTCTCCGAATATTGTCCTGTCTAGTTGCTAGTCTTGAGGGCAACCCAAAAGGATTGTGTTACTATCAATTTAAGTGTATACAAATTATAGTTATGAGCTTAGACATCTGATCCAACACTAGTATGCTCAAGAGTCATATTAAAGTATTATTGCTAATTAACATATTATACTAATGGGTCACACTAACAACAACTTGATACAATTGATTATTTATTAGAAATGAATTTTAATAAATATTCATTAAACTCTTATAATTAATTATGAATTATTTATTTATTGGAAATAATGATTTTCATTAGCAAGTAACATAATATATATATCATTTGTTATGATTTTTTAAGTCATGTAAAACATTTTGGACTAGAAAGACACTTTTGTCTTTTACCAAAAAGTTAAAGTTTATATTTTTATAAAAGAGTTTATAAAATTCACAAACTTTCTATTTCTTTTATTAGTCAAAACCATGACCTCCTATATGCTAGACAAGTTATGGGTTTTTTATTAAACAAATGGAAAGTAAGACATGTCTAAAAGCATGGGGAACACTTATACTTTAGGGGACATGATACGCTTAAAGTGCTAAGGATATAAGGATAATGAAATGACTTTATGAAGTGAGAAAGGATTTAATTTTGGCATGCAAAATCTGAAATCCTCTCTATCTCTCACATTCTCTCTTGCTTTTGAAGATCAAGAGTTCAACTTACTTGCATTTTTACTCTCTTGAAGTTCATACTTTGGTTATTAACTTTAAGCTTAAGAGTTTTAAGAGTTTTACAAGACTAGCATCTTAAATCATGTTGATTTGTTGTTGGTGTCTCAAAGGTTCCACATTCTCCATCAACTTCCAAGCCTCCCATAGAGGATTTAAAGTATACAAAAGTTGTTAAACGCTTCTTCTTCTTTGGTGCTTGTTTTCTTTTCAAATTTTGCAAGAAGATCCATAGTTGGTTATAAAGTTGTTTTACGTTGTTCAAAATCAATGTCTTTTTTGTTGCTAAATTTTATGTTTTTGAAACTAATTTTTGAATAAAAACCCAACAATTTTCCCATAATTTCTAATTAGTTTATTAATCAAATAATAATAATCTAATAAATTGTCCTTCTCTCTCCTTTTATCATTTCGAGCCAATTCTGGTTTTGAGGGCAACCGAAAAAGGATTTTGCTTCCAATTACAATTACATACCAATTTAGTTATGATCTTAGACACCTTAATCCAATAGTATCACCCCTTCGTCTTCCATGTTGACACTTCCACCCTCTCCCTTTACCAGAGCTTGTATCGCCATCCCCCTTTCTTGGCCTACAATCCCGACATCCAACCTACTTCTGGTTTGATCATCTTCTGCACCGTCGCCGCCTGCTAACGTCTATAGCTTCCAATGGTGTTAGATATACGAAAAATAGAGGATGCTAGTAGTGGTTTGAAGATCAACGTGAAGCGGTGAAGGCATTAAAGGGTTGTTCTTCTGCTACCGACGAAAGGGGGGATTCACCTGAATCTGGGTTTGTTTTATTATTAACACATTTGTATCTGGGGTTGTATTTAGGATTTTTGCATTTGTAATTTCGCATCTTCTACACCGTAGCCGCCTGTCAACGTCCACAATTGTCAATGGTGTTTTATATATGAAAAATAGAGGACACTGGAAGTGGTTTGAGGATCTGCATGAAGCGGTGAAGGCATCTTATGGATGTTCTTCTGCTACCGATGAACCAGGGGGGGTCACCTGAATTTGGGTTTGTTTTTTTTTATTAACTGATTTGCAGTCCCTGGGATTGTATTTAGGATTATTGCATTTGTGATTTTATCTACGATTTTTGCGTCATGGATTTTGTTTCTGTATTTAGTTTGAATTGCATCTTTGATTTTGGATTTGGTTTTGCATCAAAGGTTCTATTTCAGTTTTAGGTTTCATTTTCAGGTTTTTTTTTAGTTTTGTATTTGAGTTACTAGTTTAGTTTTAGATGTATATTAAGATTTATTGTTGAACATTAGGTAGCTTTGTGTTAATTTCTGTGGTATTGGATCTATAGTTGGAGATGATACCTGGTGTCAGGAATTGGATGTGTCATTAGAGATGGTGACCGATGGTAGTGGCAAGAACTGTAATTTATTTAATAATAAATGGAATAATTAAAAGGAAATTAAGAAAATAAAATAAGTCATTAAGGGCAAAATAGTATTTTTAGGATAAGTGTGTAGATTATCTCAAACCACATCGACTGCTTGTGTAATTTACACTTCTTTTATTTACTAGGGCATTGATAGAAACCAAATAATTTAATATAAAATCAAACTATGGGTAAATTATTATTTTTAGGTCAAATTTATAATAAATTGAGACCATAAGGACCAAATGTGCAATATTTTGGAACTATAAGGACCAATAATGTATCAAATTGCCAAGTTGTCATGACTTTGAGATTTTTTTTTTAAACTACAAGAACATTTATACAAATTTGTTGAAATTTGAAAGAGATTGAAAAATAGACACATATGAGAAGGCTTTATTGCTAATCACAAAAAAACATGGATTATAATTTTAAGGCTTTTTGAATTGAAAACATATGGATTGAAACTTGAAGGCATTTTGAATTAAATATATGTTTTAATATTGATTAGGTTATTGATTTAATTTTGATAAGACATTTAAATAACATTACAAAAACGAAAATAGTGAAATACAAAGAAACCAGAAGATACGTAGTTACATACTATACGAAAATGCATTGATATTGGAGAAGGAAACAAGATGACGAAAGTATCATTGAAAAAGTGATGAGCTAGCACAAGATAGGACGTAATTAAAAATTAAATTACAGTAATTTATATAATAAAATACAGAAGCGAAATTATTATTAAGAAATATTTTTGGAATAGATTTGGACAAACAAATCACTTAATTGTGATAAAAAAACTCGGAAGTCTTCCTGATTAAGAAATAGAGTGCGAAGACTTCTTGATTAAGAATTAGAAGGACTAACGGAAGGTATACTTCAACATTTGTAAAACACACACACACATACACATAGAAAGATGAACGAAACAGCAAGTATCTCCGTGTTGCCGGAAGTCTTCCTGTCGGAGATACTATCACTAACTTCACCTAGGAATGCGTGCAGAGCTGCCGCCGTCTCCAAAGAATTCAAGTCAGCGGCAGATTCCGATACCGTTTGGAAGCGATTTCTGCCACCGGATTACGACGAAGTCATTGCGCAGGCGGTTTCTCCTGTGGCTTTTGACTCTCAAAAGAAATTATACCTCCACCTATCGGACTCGCATATCCTCCTCGATCGTGGCTATCTGGTAAATCGATCGTCCTTAAGATACACTTTCCTTTTAATTGTTAGATACGCCTACATATCCTTTTCGATCTATGTGCCCAATTGTATGAATTTTTCCCCAAAGTCGACTCATGAAATGTTGAAAACATTGTTCGGAGTTAGGTGACTTATATGAAGTACAATCCTAGAAATTAGATATTTTTATACGATGGGTATCACTGTTGAAATTATACTTGGCAAAACATGACACGACATGAAAACCCGACACGAACCCGACACGAAATTAGCGGGTTAGGGTCAGAGATTTCGACACGTTTATGTAAACGGGTTGACACGACACGATAATTAAACGGGTAGGGTTAGGGTCAAGACTTTCAACTCGAAGATGACTCGAATATGATCCGTTTAATTATATATTATTAATTATAAATTTCATATTTTTTATAAATATATTATATGTTATAGACTTGTAGTGGGCCAAACTCAATAATTAGAATTAATATTCAAATTTTCAAAGTTATTTATTATAGTCATCCTCACCGCCTATCCATTTTGCTCCCCAACTTTAACTATTTTCATTTGTCCTTCTAAACTTACAATAAATTTTGTCATTCCATCTCATAACACCAATGTTTCACTTTTTCCTTTTTGCCTCCACAACTCCTACTTTCCAACCTTTAAAATATTTCAACCCGACATGACACAACATATTTACAAGATCTAAACCTTAACCCGAAACCTGACACGAAACCGACACGAAAATAAACGGGTTGACACGGCACGACACGATAATTAAACGGGTCGGGTTAGGGTCAAGCCCTTTCAACCCATTTAATGTATTGACACGACACGAACCCGACACGACACGACACGTTTGCCAGGTCTTTTTGAAATCCAATGATTGCTTCCTGAGGAATGTTTAGTTTCACGATTAAACTGTTAACTAACATCTGCTAAGATTTGGCTTTGGCCACATATTTCCATTAACAGAGCTTCCAGCTAGATAAAGAGAGTGGGAAAAAGTGCTATATGTTGGGAGCAAGAGAGTTATCAATTGCATGGCAAGATGACACTCGATACTGGGAATGGGGGCGTATACCTGAATCAAGGTCTCTCTCTTTGTTTCTCTCTTTATGTTCGCATGGTATGTTACCCTGAACTGGAGCTAACATTGCATGCAATGGTGTATATATGGGGCATTACGTCGCCCTTTATGCAGGTTTCCGGAGGTGTGCATACTTAGAGAAGTATGGTGGCTTGGGATCCACGGCAGAATAGCAGCTGTAATGCTGTCACCAAAGAGTACATATGTGGCGTATCTTGTCTTTCGAACTACTGGGTATGCCAGGGGACTTACTGTACCAGGAAAAACAAAGGTAAGTTATGGTGGGACAGAAATGGAGACCGAAAATGTGTAGCTTGAAAGACCAGGGACTGTTGGTAGAAATGGACATGTGCCTGTGTTTCCTTGTAGGAGAAAGGATGGGTGGATGGAGATCACATTGGGAGAATTTGAGTGCAATGAAGGAGATGATGGGGAGGTCGAGATGACCTTTGATGAGCATGTAACCTGGAAGAATGGTCTTATCGTGGAGGGCATCGAGCTTCGGCCTAAATAACTTGCAAAATATAAAGTCATTTTCATATATATATATATATATATATATATATATATATATAATACATAACTCTTTTAATTTGTGTGTTCTCAACTTTGCAATTATTTTTATCTTATTCATTAATGTAATATATTCCACTCCCCCCTTACAAATTTACTCCCCCCTTACAAATTTATAATGCATATGTTCATCAATGTAATATATTTCACTCTCCACTTATAAATTTGTAATACATATGTTAATCACTTATAATTTATACTATTTATTCAAATACTAAAAATGATAACATATCACACAGCGAGTTTTTTTGAATATCTTAGTTTTGTCAAAAAGGTAAAATTAAATACACATATAATATTTTGTTATTTAATTAGTAAAATATATAATTCTATAATGAAATTAACATATAATTTATAATTCTAACCTAATAAATGAAAATATTTTTTTTTCAAATGTCATGTTTAAAAGCAAAACAGAAAAGATACGCAACTTAATCTCGCTGGAAATCTTTATTGAAGAAACTCACACAAAACTTCAATCTATATCTTCTGAATATAGGATCCTATCTCATTATATGCTAAACAAAACAAAATAGAATATAACTAGGATTCTGTTATAGGAACATCTATACTTTCCTAATATAGGAACATTATGACTCAAGGACTCTACTACTTGGACAACACTCCAAGTAATTGTGATCTGGACCAAACACACATGGAAAGCCATATTGGACTAGATATTTACCAACAATCACCCCCTGAATTTATGAGTTGAGGGTAGTTCTTGCACGCCAAACAACGCTCTCATCTCTGCAAACCTTATTCGTGCTAAGGCCTTCATAAGTGGATCTGCGAAACATGTTCAACAATCACTTGCTCATTTTCCACACGCTCTCAAATAAAGTGGAATCGAGTGTGACTTTGTTTGCTTCTTCCATGAAAGACATGATTCTTTAACAATGCAATTGTTGATTTGTTGTTTATGCGAATTAGCACCTTCTGTTTCTTCATCCCTATCAGATGCGCCAATAACTCCCTTAACCAAACCGCCTGACACGCAGCTGCGGTAGCTGCCATGAACTCCGCTTCACACGAGGACAAAGCTATTGTATCTTGCTTCTGGGAGCACCAAGTGATAGGCGAGTCACCAAGGTAGAAGACATGCCCCGCTGTACTTCCGCCATCATCAACATCCACATTGTGACTGCTATCACTGTAACCTATCAAGCTCATATTTTTACTTGGTTTATATACTATCCCAAAAGATAGAGTACCACGTAAGTAACGAAGAATTTGCTTAATAGCGCGTGCATGAGATTCTCTTGGACTTTGCATATGACGACTAACTACTCCAACCGAATATGCTAAATCTGGACGAGTGTGTAAGAGATATCGTAAGCAACCTACTATTTTTCGATAATGGGCAGCTTCGACTTCTGGTTCATCTTCAGCTTTAGACAACTTTAGTCTCGGATCCATCAGACATTGAGTTGCATTACACTCTTGCATGCCTGCCTCTTTTAGAATATTCATAGCATAACTCTCTTGCTTCACCTTTACACAACCATTTTCTTGCAATACTTTAATTCCATAGTAGAAAGTTAGTTCACCAAGGTCTGACATTTCAAACTGTAACGCCATTAGTCTCTTGAATTGGTTTATAAACGCTAAACTTGTCCCCGTCACGAACAAATCATCTACATAAACTACGACTATTATGTATTCTCCATTTGCAACCTTTCTATAAACCGTATTTTCTTGCATGCATCGGTGAAAACCCATATTTTTCAACGTGTTATTAAGCTTCAAATTCCATACACGTGGAGATTCTCGAAGACCGTATAATGCTTTTGCCAATTTGTAGATTTTTGCTTCTTCATCTTGCTTCACGAAACCTTCCGGTTGGCACACACACACTTCTTCCTTTAAATCTCCATATAAAAATGTTGTTTTTGCATCTAAGTGATGAATCTTCCATCCGTTCCCATCCGCGAGAGCAATCATTAGTCTTATTGTCTTGCCACTGGCACATATACTTCATCAAATTCAATGCCTTGCTCTTGTACATAACCTTTTGCTACTAGACATGCTTTGTACCTTGTAATCGATCCATTTGTATTTCTTTTAATTTTATACAACCATCTTAACCTGATAGGTTTAGCATTTTTAGGTGGAGGAACTAATTTCCAAGTATTGTTTTTTCTCGATGGAGTCAATTTCGGCCTTCATTGCATCGAACCAATTATTGTTCACTTTGGCTTCTTTAAAAGTCTTTGGTTCTTCATCGAATGACAACCTTAAAGGATCCACATCTAACTCGTAGTTATTTAATCTTCTTGGCAACACTAAAGTTCGAGTGGAATGAAGAAGTGAGACAAAACTTGCATCGTTATTTTGATCATCAACAAGTTGTGATGGGTTGCTATCATCATGAGAAGTGTCATTGGTGTGGTTGCTTTGGGCCAGATCAGTCAACTGTTCGGTTTCTATTGCAGTTGGGCTCGAACCACCATTATCTTGGGTTGCTTGACCATTACTCCACAAGACCGTAAATGTACCCGATCCATTTCCATCTTGATTTTTGGGTTCATTATTCCATTGTCATGTCTTTTTTTCATCACAAATTGCATGGACACTAATAATAATTTTATTTTCCCGCAGATTATATAACCGAAATCCTCCCGAATTTGGTTCCTTTCCAAAATATACCAACGGTTGTGACCTATCATCAAGATTATTCAAATATTTTGATACTACTATTTAATATGCAACACAACCAAATACTTTCAAGTCTTCAAGGTTTGGTTTTTCACCATAAAATTTATCGAATGGTGTAGCACCTATCAATGCTCGAGTAGGTGTACGATTTATGATGAACGTTGCATGTCGTACCGCTTCGCCCCAAAAGTGGTTTGGAATATTTTTTGATTTCATTAGGCATCGTGTCATCTCGAGTAGAGTCTGATTTCTCCGATCGACTATACTGTTTTGTTGAGGTGCATAAGGGGCCGTCAACATACGTGAAATTCCTTCTTCGTCACAAAAACAGTTCAACTCAGTCGATGTGAATTCTCCACCTCTATCCGTATGGAAAGTCTTGATCTCTTTACCGGTTCGTTTTTCAATTGATATCTTGAGTCTTTTAATAATTTCGGATGTATCGCTTTTGTGTTTCAAAAGAAAAGACCAAATATATCTAGAATAATCATCAATAAGAACTAAAACATAAATATTACCCGCTTGGGTGGGGGGATCAACCGGTCCACAAATATTTCCATGCACCATCTCGAGAATATTTGTAGCTCTATAATTAGATTTCTTTGCAAACGACTGTTTTGTTTGTTTTCTAACCATGCAAGATTCAAAAAGTTGGTCTTGATGTTGGATTGCTGGTACCCCTTTAGCTAGCTTGTGCATCAAGTTTATCACGCCAAAATTAATGTGGCCAAGTCGCGCGTGCCATAACTAAGCTTCCTCATTAAATTTGGCTTGTAAGCAATGTGGTTTTCCAACTTTTAACTTTTTTTTTAAGAGGCAATTTTCACTTTTCGGGACTTTCATAAGCAATCTTCCATCTCCATCTTGCATGGTTAGAAAATCACCTCGCATTCGAACATCACAACCGGCTATTGTAGATTGGCCGAGGCTAATAACATTGCTACGAAGTGATGGGATATAGTAAATATCCTTCATTAATTTTTGCTCACCGTTTTTCCCTTCGAACTAAATTGACCCTTTTCCTTTAATTCTAACACACGATCCATCTCCAAATCTCACTCTACCCTTTATGTATTTATTTAATTCAAAAAAATAAGAGTAGTTGTCGGTCATGTGGTTGCTCACACCATTATCCAAGTACTAAATTCCATCTTCATCGGCATTTGCTTCAAATTTTGGAGGAATGTATTTGTCTTCATTCTTGAACACCGTTTCTTGAATTCTATTCATTATAAAGAACGTCCCTTCTTCATGATTTGTATCTCCTTCGTGTGTCTGATTAAGGTTAGCCTCATGATTTTTTATTCGGCCCGAGCATCTTGAAGCAAAGTGGTCATACTTGTGACACTGGTAACATTGAATATTTGAGAGATCTCTTTGTTCGCGTTGTTTTCCTTTTTGCTTTTGATCTTCACGATTTTTAGAGGATTCCGAGTGACTGTGATTTTGGGTTTTACCCCGACCACGTCCTCCGCCACGTCCACCACCACGTCTTCATCCTCGGTTATTTGAACCCCGACCTCTACCTCTTGATGAATTGATGCTTCTGTTGGACGATTCAGTTTTGGAATAAAGTAATTTATTTTGAGTCTCGATCACTTTGTCTTCACCATTGACTCTTTCTTCATAAGATTTTAAGCGACCAACCACGTCTTCAAAGCCTATCGTCTTCAGGTCCAATACTTGTTCAAGGGCTGCAACAATGTGGACAATTCGCCTAGGGAGGCTCGTAAGAAACTTCTTCACAAGCTTCTGTTCAGTCATAACTTCTCCTAATGAAGCGGATTTTGAAGCAATTCCATATAATTTTGCAGCGAACTCATCTATTATACCCGTATCACTCATCTTTAGATTTTCAAATTCCGTGATTAGAGTTTGGAGTCGGGCTTCCTTCACACGATCAACTCCTAGGTTACGAGTTTTAATCGCCTCCCACATCTCTCTTCCGGTTTTCAATTTACCGATTTGAAGAATTAAATCCTCCGGAATCGATTGAAACAACAATCCTTTCACGATGTTGTTTTTCTTCACGTCATCTAGTTCGAGATCAATCACATCCAAAACGCTATGAATCCCGAGTAGCACCTCCATACGCATCCTCCAAATTGTGTAGTTCGTCGATGTCAAATTCGAATATTGGAACGTGAACGACGTGTGTTCCTTAGCCGGTGGTTGGGACG